TATATATATATATATATATTTAAAATTAAAAATTTTAATGATTTATCCTCTCCCAGCCTAACATGAATTGTTTATAATTGTGGAGGTCCAGACGTTCAGAATTCAATTATTTGAAGAATAATGCATGTGAAAACACGTATTGTGTTTGTTGTTTTTTTATATTTGTGGAGGTCCACTGAATTATTGGTTTGATTCCAATCCTAAGAACTATTCTTCTCTTTCTTTGTAAAGGTGAGATAAAAAGTCAATATGTGTGATTTGATCCATTGACCGCATAATGAGAGGAGAAAATATTACATGCATAAAATGTACGTACGGACGACTGATGACGACCAAACAACGCATTCACCTCTGTAATTGCGAAGGAGGCCAAGCTTTCCTACTACTCTTTTATTGTTATGTTATAGCTGCGACTAGAGTCGATGGAAAGGCAAAAGCGGGATAGCAACATACAAAGACTTCTAGAACTCTTATTTTTTTTTGAATTTGTGGATTTTTTGTTTGTTTTTTTCTAACAACACGCCAGCGTGTAATTCAACTTCCATGAGTCTCATATGTCGTATGTGTAGACGTTATTTTGTCCATTGGAAGCATACACCCTCAACCTCATTATGCCATGAACAAGTGTGCATCCCGATACCCCTTCTTCCTCTCCTTGCCATATTCATTGTCTTTTCTCTAAACAATCTGATTAATGTAGGAGATTACACTACTTTGAAGTCTATATAGGGATATGTTCTCTCTAAATTTGAATTCATCAATCAAATCATTCTCTTGTTTTACAAAATTAACCAAAACTTTATCTTTCCCTTTTTCTTCCTTTTCTTCTCCACAATGGATGCCATTAACATCATCACCTTCTTAGGTCTCTTCCTCTCCCTCCTTTTAGCAACCAACCTCTTCTTAAGCAACAAAAGCAGCTTGAAGAAGAATCTCCCTCCAAGTCTTCCTAATTCCCTTCCCATCCTTGGTCATCTCTACCTCCTGAAGAAGCCCCTCCACCAATCCCTAGCCCATCTCTCTGCCAAGCATGGTCCTATTCTTCTCCTCCGTTTCGGAATCCGTCCCGTCCTCGTTGTCTCCTCCGCCTCCCTCGCCGAAGAGTGCTTCACCACCAATGACGCTACCTTTGCTGACCGCCCTCGATTCCCTTCTGTTTCTGTAATTACCTACAACTACACCAGCCTCCCTTTCGCTGCCTATGGCCCTGACTGGCGAGAGATGCGTCGAATTGCCACCATTGAAGCACTTTCGTGCCATCGTCTCGCCTTTTTTGCTTATGTCCTGGATGACGAGGCACGTGCCCTCGTCCGACACCTTTTTCGTAACTATGGGATGGTAGAGCTTAGGCCAAGCTTATTCGGGCGGCAATGAACATCATAACGAGGATTACAGCAGGTAATGAGCTTAATGTGAAATTTTTTATCAGCTTCCTGGATTATCAGTTGTGTCAATTTTCAGGGAAGAGGTATTATGGAGAGGATGATGGGAAGGACAATGTGGTATATAAGTTCAAGGAGGTGATAGAGAAGATCACCTTGCTTTCTGGCATGACCAATGTCGGCGATTTTTTATCGGCAATGATCATGTGGATTACAAGTCAAGGAGTGAAGAGAAAGATGGTGAGGTATCACAAGTACAGGGATAAGATTATTCAATCACTCATCGAAGAGCGCAGGAGGAAAAAAAGAGAAGAGGATGAGGATAAAAAAGATGGGGAGTTGAAGGAGAAGAATAGGATTAATAAAACAATGATTGATGCTCTGCTCTCTTTGCAGGAGAAGCAACCAAAGCAATATACTGATGTTTTCATTAAGGCACTTATTTTGGTGAGTTCTTCATCTTACTATTTTTCCTTTTTGGCCATTCGGAAAATTTTTAATGCTGAAATATAAATAATAATATATATTAAAGCTTATATTTTTTATTGTGTTGATAAATAATTCCTTTAATCCAATTCTTTGTCATCAAATAAATACCAATTAATACAAACATACTATACAATTCTTATTTCTTTATATATCTAACATCAAAACTTTCATATTTACATGCATATCACACAAATATTCAATATCATACATAGATTTATCGCATAAAAATGCTATAAAACTAAATATTAAAGTTTAACTGTTAGATATATGTAACAGTTGATTTGTACTAAATTATGTGGTTGGTATTTTTTTGAATACTTTAATAGCTATTTTATTTTATTTTTTTTTATTTATTAGGTGCTTAGTTAGAAAATAATTATTGGTTAAAATAACTTTTAGTTAATAATTTCTTTTTGAATATTGACATAATTTTTTTGTATTCTTTCTCTTTTTTTAGAGCTTAATATCTGCAGGCACGGACACTTCTTCAAATACAATTGAATGGTCAATGTCTCTTTTATTAAACAATCCAGATAAACTAGAGAAGGCAAGACAAGAGATAGAGAAGCAAGTCGGACATGACCACCTCCTAGATGAATCAGATCTCACCAAACTGCCATATCTTCATTGTATTATCAACGAAACACTTCGCTTATACCCAGTTGGGCCTCTCCTACCTCACATAGCAAGAGAGAATTGTAAAGTTGGAGGCTACGATGTGGACCGAGGCACAATGCTTTTAGTAAATGTTTATGAAATTCACAGAGACCCCATGCTTTGGCTGGAACCTACCAAGTTTGTACCTGAAAGGTTCCAAAACGTAGAAGTAGGAGGAAAGTTAATGTCATTTGGATTAGGGAGAAGAAGGTGTCCGGGAGAGGGGCTTGGATTGAAAGAGGTTGGTCTGGTATTAGGAACTCTGATTCAGTGCTTCGAGTGGAAGAGGATTGGACCTGAGAAGGTGGACATGACACAAGGATCGGGCATTAGCATGCCAAGAGCAAATCGTCTCAAAGCACTATGCAGTCCACGTGAATACATGATCAGCCTGCTATCTAAATTATAGATTTTAGATCAAGCTTATAGAGGCAATTATAAGAATGAAATTTATGTTCAATAATTTGTTTTGTGAACACAATGTGCTGTGTAACTCTTGTTTTGATGAATTTAAGATAATATTTTGTCGTTGTGATTCAGGTGGCCAATGATTTAATTGATTGTTATTTATATCAAGTATATTGAGTTTTTTTGGATAAGGTTAGTACATTCATGCCATCAAAATCATTCATTTATCATGACCATAACTACATGTGAAAAGAATTTGCTCAACATAGCTTTGATAAGACCATAGACATATCCCCTTTATCACATGTATCTTATTTATATTTACTATGAGTGTTTGTTGTCTCATAGAAATTTAATGTTAAAAATGAAGAAAATAAAATGAGCTTTCTGATATTATAAGAAAATTATTTGTTAATTTGATTCTATATGATCAAATAACTTCCAATTAACACAAACATATTATATGATGCATCATGATTTGTCAGTGAATCACACCCAAGAATTAGTGTGCAAGGAGTGATAAAGAGTGTGTGAATGAACAATAATTTTTTGTGATCTATTATGTTTTATTCATAAAATAATTCTCTTATTTATAGAGGATAGTGTTAGGTATGACTCATATACCAGGAAATTTGGAGTATCTTGAACTGGAGAGGTGTGTCTTTATGAAGGAAAATGAGCGTCCCTTGGTGTGAAGAAGTGTGTCTCTTAGATTAGTGGGTTGGGGGGAGCAAGGGCGTGTTTGTAAATTTTATCTGTGAGTTTTATCTATAAATAGATGTGTAACCCTATGGGTATGTAACTCCTCTGAAACAGTGAAATTCGTTGTTCTGCTCCCGAGGATGTAGACATCTTTGTCGAACCTCGTAATTCTCTATGTTCTTTTGGGTTGGTGTCGATTATGTTTTTTTTTCGCCCTAAATTTCTCAAGAGATACCATACATAATGATGATATTAAATTTTTATCTTTGCTTTAAAGGGTGTCTATCCTAGGGTATTTCTGTTATTTTACATGTGCAAGACAATCGTCTGGCAACTTTCTGAGTTGGTCGATTGACCTTAGTCGGCTTCTGGTCGGCGGGATTAGTTCGGTCGATTGAGCTTGGTCGCTATGGATCAACTGACTTGTACGACCTGGTTTTCAACCCTTAGTTTTTGATGAGGAACTTTTAGGTTTCTCTTAGATGGTCAAAGATACTTTGGAATCAGATCTTTTGTTGTGTTGGTTCCGCAAGAGCTTGGCTATTGCATTCGGTCAATTTTTTGTAATGGTCGGCTCAGATGTTCTTTCGCCTTGCATCAAGCTAATTAGTTCGGGCTTGATTCGTCTAGTTTTCTTTTCGTCTACCTCGTGGCTCGATCGATTTTGGTCTTGATGACTTGACTAGGACAACTTCTCTTGGTTGAAAAAATATGTTTTATGGTTTGGCAATGCGCCCACATTTGTCATACTCTTCTCTTTTGGATTGTTAGATCTCCTCAAGATCAGTGCTGACACATTTTTAAAAGTATACTTTACTTCTTTATGTATTTATATATTTAACTTCCAAACTTTCATATTTACATGTATATCATAAACAACATTTAATACAAGATAGAAAATAATACTATTATTAACTTCTTTAAATTGAAATATATATATTTTTTTCATTGATACATTTATGAAATAAAAATATTACAAAATTAAATATCAAAGTTTAGATTTTAGATATATAAATAAATAAGAACTGTGTGGTGTGCCTGCAAATCCACACTTAAATGAAATGACTATGCGATTAGATGAAATTCAATCAAATTAACAAAACACTTTTATCATTAGTTTATCACTAAATCAAATGAAGTTTAGGGATGCACGTGGAAGGGTAATGTTGGAATTTCAGAATTTTTTTCTTGCATATAGACGAACTCAAGATGTGGGACTAATAAATAATAGATGTATGATTGTTATTGGGGGCATGTGAACCAATCATCTAATAAAAAAATAAAGGTGTTTTGTATTTATTTAAGAGAATTTTTAATTCATCATTTACTTGAATATGGACGCAATCTTCTTAATTCTCGCCCTTTTTTAAGAGCTTAATGTCAACAGGCATAGACACTTCTTCAAATATGATTAAATGACCAAATTTTCAGTTATTTAAAAATCCTTAAAAGTTAGAGAAGGCGAGACGAGATAGATGAGCAAGTTGGACATGAACACCTCCTTGGTGAATCTGATCTCATCAAACTTCTATATCTTCAGTGTATTATCAATGGAACACTTTGATTGTACACAGTTGGGCCATATCTGTGCTGAAGGGAAGACCACACATAGAAGTTTTGAAATTTTTTACTTGTGTTTGAATACGACATCAAAAAATAGTATATCACCTTGTAAAAACAAAATCTTATCCAATGCAAATGTGAGGCTGTGAAAATCAGAACTTTTTCCCCTGTCCGATAAAGACGGAGTTTATTTTAATTTTGAGGTATGGTCTTTGTAAAGATGCAAGATTATCTAGTTAATTATATCTTTGGAAAGAAAGACTATAGAATAAAATAGTGGCTAAACATTTTTGTGGAATACAACAATAGATATCAAGACTACAATCTGAAAGATTGCTCAAATTTAGAATAAATGTTATCGAAAGTTAATGGGGGAAAAGTAGAGAGCACTAGATATTGAAAGACCTAGTGGTTACTCCAACATGTCATATAATTGGGTTTTATAATTTTGAAAGTGAAATGTGAATATTGTTTGAGTCGAGTAAATTTTATAAAGTTAGGACTTAGATTTGATTGAATTATTCATTGAAAAGCCTAAGAGAAGAAAATTTTATGGAAAGGCTGACAAAACTACCTCAAAAACATATGATAGGGTGAGTTCTACCAATACGATAGAAGCTAAAAACCTAACTAAAAAATTGGACTTATGGGTCGGATAACGCAATGAAACCCATCCAACTCTCCTTGACGTACAACCCTCCCACAATGTATTGAAAGCTAACACCTCATATTCTTTAAAACCATGAATTTGATCACATTCACAATACGTGTGGTGGGCTATTGTTATTTGAAAAGATGGGTCGGTACTTACGACTCGATCTTAAAGATCAAGTTGCCTGGTGTCGACACTATTTTTGGTGTGGGGTTTGCCCGTAAGAAGCTGTCGGTCATCGGAATTGAAATCCCGTTCCCCGCTTTGGAAGGACGTTTTTTTTTTTTAAATTTTAGTTTTGAAAAAGATGAAGTCAAACTGACCCCATAATTTTCATAGTTTAAATGAAAGAGCGCTTTACCTCAAATCCTGTATCTATCCCGAAGAATGAACACAAGAATTGAGGGTGAGGTTCGATCAAATAAACTAGAGAAAGTTATGACATCCGTTTGGTCTGCGAAA